TTATTATTATTGTTATTATTAGCCTAACAAAACTGTATTCTAAGTCTAAGCCAAATTCGGAATGTGCAAGGATCTCGACAGAACCTTTCTAAAATAAAAGGGAATAAGCTAAAAACATTAATTAATTTTTAAAAAATAAATTAAGTATCGGGTTTTTCGATTAGTGTAAAAATAGATCTAGTTAGGGGACTTCCCCTCTAGGAAAAACCGGAAAGGAAGTTTGCCCTGGCGGTCTCTGGTCCTTGCAGCCTGGCAGTAACAGTGCAATACATTTCTAGATCTTTCTCAGCAACAAAACACGTCCAGATTATCCATTGCAAACCGTTTAATGTGAGTTCTGATTTATACAGTTTCTAGTAGAGCACTCTCAGAGTTTTGTGGGATGTTGTGTAGTTCTGTGGATAAAAAGAATAGCAATTCTAGGCTTTTAGCCGAGGGAGCCGTACGCATAGCCACTTCGTAAATTAAAAAAAAACAACCAATAACAACAGGACGCTGTAGTCTGGCCAGCTTGTGTTTTGAGAGTGAGAGTAAGTTGAAGGTTCTAATCTAGATCTGCCATGTCAGTCTGACGGGAAGAGAAAATTTCTAATTACATTTTTAAAAAAAAAATTTTTTAAATTGCCGACACCATATCGACCAGAGGCCTATAGAAGGTCAGCCTGTACTTCTAAAGCAAGGCAGAGTTTTTAATAATTTATCTAAACTTCCGAGTGGATTCCCCACTTGTTGAGGAGCCTGATCGTGATTGGTCTCAGTTTCATTCCTCTTCTTTAACTTTGAATAGTTATAGGGCCTACCCTACGGATTTAAAGAAATTAAATATTCTGTGTTAAGTTAATTATTGTTTATGTCCTGAATGAAATACATTGATCAAAACAGTTTAATTTTTTGTTGCTTCTCCTGAAAAACTTGAATGGCATTATGTTGAATAACGGTTTTCATCCTATACAGCCTTATGAACTTTTATATTTGTCTAGAGAGTTAAATGACACAATAAAAGCACTTCCCAATGCAGAATATATTACGGCTTGAGAGCTATCTTGAAGAGGAGTACAAAAGCCGCCCACCCCAAATTGAACAACAAGTAAATGTCTTATGATATATATTAGAAGAGAAAAATATTTTTAAAATAAAGAATTATCGATGTATAGGTGCATATTAAATAATTAAGTTTATTGACAATTAAATTTTTCGAATAGATATATTTTTTAAGTCAGACCTATATATTGAAAGCTAATAGTTTTCAAATAAACATTATATTGTGTAAATGGTTTAGTCACATTTTAAATTGCAGGAATGCGAATAGCTGTAGCCTATTATGCAATATAGTGAATATAATATATATTCTTTTCAAAGTTGCAATTACAAATATAAGCCGTAGTATTTTGTACTAGACTGAATTATCATAAACAATCTTTTTAAACAAATTTAACTAGTAAATAGCTTGTCAGTCTGTAAAATTACGAGTAAGTGATGTTTCGTAAAAAATTTAGGTAAAGAGTAGCAACTTCTTTCCAGTTTACTCTGAGGTGTTTGTAGAAGTCAATCTGAATTTACTTCAACTGCCTGAATCTCTTTTTCAGTGATGGTAGCCGGAACCACTGGTTATTCCCAGGAGGAGCGACACAAGTGACGAAAGTATGTCTAGATTGTATAAGTGAGAGATTCATTGAAGAAAATCTGAGAGAAGCATGGATACTTTCCTACAAGGCAGTCTCACTAGACTCATCCATTTCTGTTTCCTTGCTGTGAGAAGTTTTTTCTCCAGTTGGACTAAACGTTCTCAGATACCTGCAGCATGTGAGTATTTGTATAAAGAATGAAACTGGGAGAGGCAAATGTGTTATTCCATTGGATGAATTAAGATAAACAGATGGGTGAGACGACGATGATCTCGATGATGATTTTTGTTTTGTCTCCTTTATGGATATCTTCGAGCGAGAGCGAGGCTCTTCTTCGGCTCCATTGTCAATATGCTTAGCTGCACCTCCACTCGTCCAAATAATCCCTTTCAAATTGCCATTGTTCCTGGACATTCAAATATATGTTTGACATCCTCCTTTTCATGGCTGCATCTTCGGCAACGTGGGCTGAGGTCTTCATTTACAAAGTTCTTATACCATCTTAAGCTCCAATGATGGTCCGACCTCAGTCTCGCTAGCCCAACCTGGTCCCAGCGACATGTGATATTTTGTTCCCGCTTATAGGAGTACTCAGAATACACATTTTCCATGTGCTGGTACTTAGCTCTGTATGGTGGGTCTCCGATTTCCCTCTTTATCTTTGGAAAGACTCCTCTGTATGTTGATGGTAGTCTGCCTCCTTCAATCTCTCTGGCTTCATTAGCAGCCTGGTCTGTTGCCTCATTTCCTTCTATTCCAACATGGCTTGGAATCCATTGGATTTTTATTGTGGCCGTGGCTTCACTGAACTTGCTGCGCAAATCATTTATATCCGAGCTGTTGCCCAGCTGTCCCGTGCAATGCAGAGGGACTGACTGTCAGTCAAGATCAGCACATTGGTTCTAATGTGGCTATTGTCAGCAATCCATTGTGCAGCAATCTCGATGATGATGATGATGATGATGATGATGATGATGATGATGATGATGATGATGATGATGATGATGATGATGATGAGGAAAAGAAGAAGAAGAAGAAGAAGAAGAATAAGAAGAAGAATAAGAAGAAGAAGAATAAGAAGAAGAAGAAGAAGAAGAAGAATAAGAAGAAGAAGAAGAAGAAGAAGAAGAAGAAGAAGAAGAAGAAGGAGAAGGAGAAGGAGAAGAAGAAGAAGAAGAAGAAAGAAGAAGATTTGATTAATTTCATTTTTGATAGGGAATGGGGTCAGTTTAGGGATTTAGTGGGGAGGAAGGGGGGGGGGGGGGATATGGGCGGTGAGGAGAAAGATTCACTCTGACTTTATTTTGCAGTGTATTTTCTTTTAAGGCAAGTTTTTATTTCTTGATGTAGATCTAGAATCTATGCTGCTTTTGTTTTTCATTTAACTAAAGGTTAAAAACCATTTTGCTTTTACTACGTGTCTTATTCTCACTTTTATATGTTACGTGTTTGACCTCAAGTTTCAGTATCATCTGACTTATTAAAAAGTAGGGTATAGTTCCTTTTAATTTCATTTATATAGCCGCCAGCTTCTGTGACCAAGACAGTATCAAGCAATGGCAGTGTAGCTTTTAGGTTGGTGTTAATATCTGGGCTGTTTCCCGCGGGAAATCATAGCTAAGAAACCTGTTACTGGTATTGTTTTTAACATTGATGAAATACAGTTGAACCTACTGTAACGGGCAACTGTCCAAGATAATCCCTGGTGCGAACACCCACTCCCCTCCCTCCACCTCCCGCGTTTATCTTATTTTACTTGTTATTATAACGACACTGTGCAAGATGTCCACATGTCTAAGAAAATCATTCTTTTTCTCGACATTGAGTGGCCATCTTGGACTTTTTCGAGTGTTCCCGAGTTATTCCATGTTGGGTTATGCATCATGCATGCCATATTGTGACTGACTTATATTTTCTAAAGGGAGGAATGGAAAGTGGTGCATAAGTACATGTAGTTCATTTTACTCTCTGACATGTTTGATGATTTATGGTATTTTAAAAAATGAATATCAACTATAATTTCAGCTATTAATCCTAATGACCATAGCTCACGCCTGAATGTGCTCTGCCCCTTCTGTGCATGGAAATGCTTTATAAAAATTCTCCTCTTGTGGAAATTGAACTCAGGTCTGCTGCTCACGATGGTAAAGGGCCAAACCGCTACATCATAGAGACCTATAAGGCACAGGGAGCCAGGGCTCAAAACGTTAATCCATATAGATTCCTTGTAATTTATCAGACTGCTGATAATCATATCGTATCTGAACTCCTCAGACGTAGCTCAGACACAGATCTGTGTTGGGGACGAACTGGACTTACACCATGATCTCGTATTCTGCAGAAAAAACCAAGGGCATAAAAGCTTTACACCAGTGTCAGAATTCGACATCAACTGTTTGCCTGCAGGTTTTAGGGAGCAAGGTGTTCTTGATACCATCAGACTTCTAGAGAAGCTCACTGTCCTAGTGAAGACTAAAGTCGTCAGTAAACACAGACCCTCCAGGGACCGTCATGAATGCTATAGAAATGTAGAAGGTTTCCCAGAGAGCGGTAGCGGCTGGTTGTGGAGTCCTCAGAAATGCAAATTCTACACCGATGTTCCGTGTGTATGTATGTCATGCATCGACAGAGGCAATCCTACCCTGGAGTGGGGGGAACTGCGAGTGTATACAGCGAAGCATGTTGTGTTTGATGACGCAGAAGCTTACGGAGCTGAGTTGCGCTTGTTTTACAACAATGACGACACTTTGGAGACTGTAAGAACTCTGTCAGGGGTCAGTGTAGATAGCTCTGACTCTGGTGGTGATATGTGTGAACTAGTGGTCGTCACACATGACAAGAACCTGTGGGCATATGTCACAGAAATCATTAGCTACGCCTACAATACGAAGTCAAAATTTACAGAAAGGTCGGAGGCTGCTAATGACGAATGTGAACGAACTGAGCTAAATAATAATTTGGCTGTTATCATTTCCCACCCTCACGGCTGCAATAAACAGATTAGTGTGGGCAGGTGGCTGGATCGGAAAGTGGTGCGAACTGATGGAGGGTGTCTGGAGTGGGTTCAGTACGTCTATAACACACCCACATGTCCCGGGTGTAGCGGGGCTCCAGTATACGTTGTGGGTCGAGAGGGCTGGCGAGTGACTCAAGCCCCACACAAGGGTGCGCTTGACTTGGAGAAAAGGACAAACATCAGTGGTGTGGGTTTGGAATGGAAGCAGTTGAAAGAGAATGACACTGCTTCAGCCGGAGATGTGGGCGCTGGTGATGGTGCAAGCCGTAACAGCTCAAGGGGAAATGTGATCTCTGTTGATGACGGTGCCGATGATAATTTGAGCGATTGGGATTTCATTGATTCAGTTTTCGGGTTGCACAGGAAAACAACTGAACTGGATCTTTATTGTGCAAGTTCTGCGATGGCACTCTCTCCAAGTTCCTCCCAGACAGATACAGGTTGTGGATACGAGACCAACTCCTGTTCCATGAATTTTGTTGCTACTGGTGAGTGCATGGTATACACGTACTTGTTGGTGCATCATCATCATCCTCATCATCATCATCATCATCATCATCATCATCATCATCATCATCATCATCATCCTCATCATCATTGTAAGTACGAAAAGAAGAAAAATAGTAGATGGAGACTAGGAACTAGGAAATTTCTGAATTTTAATAAAACAATTTTTTTAAAAATGTTTGACATTTTGCCTTTTTGATATTCATCAAGAAGGTTATATAAAATACAATCATCGTCGTCGTTATCATCATCATCATCATCATCATCATCATCATCATCATCATCATCAGCCTTGTTAATTCCTGTGAGGTATTTTATCCCTGATAAATATGGGGATTAATATTGTTATTATTACTATTTCTATTTTTACTGTTTTTTGTCTGCCTCCTTGCTGTGGTGCTACCTGCTCAAACTGTCGCTTATGTCCTGCTCACATCTTTTTCCTTGTCTTCCCCTTCCTCTTTTGCATTCCACTATGACTTTCATTGTGAACGATTTATATGCCTGCACGTGTGTGTGTGTGTGTGTGTGTGTGTGTGTGTGTGTGTGTGTGTGTGTGTGTGTGTGTGTGTGTTTGTATGCATATGTGTTTGATATGTGTGTGTGTGCATGCTATTAATGTGTGTCTGTGCGCGCTACGAGTATTATATAAATTGTGTTATTGTTTGTATGCATGCGACCACGCGCGCTCGCTCTCGCTCTCGCTCTCGCTCTCGCTCTCGCTCTCGCTCTCGCTCTCTCTCTCTCTCTCTCTCTCTCTGTGTGTGTGTGTGTGTGTGTGTGTGTGTGTGTGTGTGTGTGTTCGTGTGTGTTTTATGGGTGTGTATGTCAGTGTGTAACATTTACATTTCCGCTGGTAGCTGAGATGTTTGCCCACTTATTCATAGTAGAGACTGAACCAAAACTTCTTGAAAATACTATTTACTCTCACACAAACGTACACACATGCATATTATTAACCATACACACATATAATATAATCAACTGCTCAGTTTAAGACTCTGCCATGGGCCATTGGAAAAATGACATAATATGACGCAATATTACACTGAACAGTCGATATGCAAGCACACACCGACCGTCTGTCTGTCTGTCTGTCTGTCTGTCTGTCTGTCTGTCTGTCTGTCTGTCTGTCTGTCTGTCTGTCTGTCTGTCTGTCTGTCTGTCTGTCTGTCTGTCTGTCTTCTCTAACATTGTGTCTATGGTACTTGGAAGGCAAAACTGTGTTTTGTAGATCAGACTGTCCTTCTGTATCACCCCTCTGCTGTTTCTTTCCAGGTAATACCATTGTCTTTCCCTCTTTCCAATGACTGGCATGGAAAGGAAGTCCTGCCACCTAACTGAAGTGGCCATTATTGCCTGAATGTGCTGAGCACACAATTCAAAATGTCCATGATCATGTGGATGTGCTGCTCCCTAATTTAAGCTTTGACATGCATTACATGTACCTAAATTGACCTCATCATTCAGTGACTATACCGATAAAACATATCGTAATTAACTGATTGATTAATTGATTAATTGATTAATTTTTCTATTGAATTTTCAGCTGAAATGACGGATTTGCATCGCGACTTCAGGTATTGTGCCTCGAACCCTAGCCATTCTACGTTTATTCCTTTCCCTAACTTTTCACCGGAGCACCTACCCCAAACTTACAAAGAACTTTTCTCCACTATTCAACACCTCGGGAACATAACAGGCAGGGTGCGGGCGAGCCTTGTGTCTCCACAGAGACCCATACATTTCCCCCATGCGTGCCTCTCACAACAACCTAGCGTCGTCCTTCGTTTCGCCACGGGATGGTTGCAGTTGTTGGATGGCTACAGTGGGGTGGGAATCAAACCTTGCCCCTGTGTGAGCTGTCACTATGGGCCAGAGCCCTTTATGAGTTGGAGAGGGTTTGTTTTGAGAACTGCTTGCCACGTCGTTTTCAACGATGAAGAGGCTTTACGTTGCGCCGTTGATTTCTGTTATGACAGCAGCGATCTTTCAAAGGTCAAAACTCTTCGTGGTGTGAAGGTCATTCGACGAGATGAGGAGGCTGACCTGGTTGACTTATATGTAGTCACACATGACGTCCAGTTTGCTGAGAAACTACGCCATGACATTCAGATGTTTTCGCTCCGAATTCATGAGATGAACCGAACTCTTGCAGTTGTGGCTCCGTTTTTGGTGGTCATCGTGTCCCACCCTCACGGCAGGAGCAAGCATGTGTCCATCGGTTTAACAGTGATGGATGAAGCTATTGAAACAGACAAGATGCAGCAAGCTGCAGTGGAAGGAGGTACATCCGCCATAGAGGCACCAAGTCATGGACAGTTCGACTCATCGCCTGCTTCACAGATTGCAGCTTGCCCACTGACAGAATTACCCTCAGCTTTACAGCAGACTCCAATTTGCTCTCTGTCACATTTGACCAACGATGCTTTCGATACGCCAACGGCCATGAACTGCATCAGGAATCTTACTGATAAGGACAGTGAACAGCTCAAGTTGATGCCCCAGCCTAGATTGAACCCGTCTTCATCTATTTGTGTGGAAATCCCATTCAAAAAGATAACGAGCCGAGCGATTTTGCCGTCATCACGCCAAACATCCCCTGGCAACTCATCGCAAGCACAGAACAATTGTACCGCCAGTTGTCATGGTTACGTCCCTTCAACTGAACCTCCTCTCTTCTCCAAACCGGTGAAGTACTATGTGGTTGATTCGTGCCGAGGCAGCTCTGGTGCACCCGTCATGGTTGTCAAAGGCAACGGTCTGATATGTTGGCCTATGACCCATGGACGGGACCAAAGACAACACTGCCTAACAGAATAGTGGGGAATCTAAATCTATAGTCTACTTAACTAGTCTCTCTTGTTACTTCATCAGTGATTGTGGAAACTAGGTCATCTTGTTTGAACACAGTGAATCAATTTGGATAATATATTAGGCTGAAGTTCATATTTGTTTTAGGGTGTGTTTTAGTGCTTTAAGCTTTTCTTTGAAGGCTTTTTAGATGATATATGCCAAAGGAAATTAAACAAATTGTGTTTATAATGGAAAAAATGGCCCAAAAATGGTGGCCATTTGGGATTCTTTAATATTGTTCGGGTTTTTTTTTGCTTATGGCTTTTTTGTTTTTTTTTAACTCAATGAATTGAAACTTAGCAGGCAGACAGGGCCTACTGCAAGACATGAATAAAAAATGAATAGAAGATCTTTTTAATCAAACAATTATTTTGATTTTTACACGATAAAATCATAATTGTTTTTTCTACAATACAATTTGCATTCTAAATTATTTCCCAAACACTTTCAGCATTCAAAAAGGAAAACTCTGACACGACAGATTGTTCAATGTAAAGTTTAAAAAATAAATGAGGAGTAATTCTGCCAAGTGTGAGCTTATTTGCTTGAAAAACAAAAAAGTTATTAGTATAAGTGTGTCAAAAAACTCAATTTTGAGAAAATAGCCGATGAAGATAAAACCAATAATGAACTACCTATTGCACATGTCAAGAAAGCTCGATTATTGCTATTATCGAAAGCATTTTCGAATTGTTTTCAAATGCCAAATGATAAAACAATGGTTTAGGAATGCAAATACGAGCAAATCTAAAATTGTCCCCAATATGATTGTTTAAAAAAATCAGCACATGTCAACTTTCATGGATTTCCATGAGGGATATTTAGATGCATCTGTGAATGCTTTCCAATAATTTCCAATATTTCCAACAATTGACTTAATCTTACAATGTCATTTCCTGTACTATTAGAGTTGATGGCAAGCACAATTAATGCAAGGCTCGATTAATGTTTGAAGTCGGCACTGGTCTCTTGGGTGGATTCAGTGCTAGAGACAACGTCATGGTGGTAAAAGTGCAGGGTGCTATAGATAGATCTTTTGACTTGTGCTTGGATTTTACTATCTAGTATATTGTGTATAACATTGTGTACCGTGGGGGCAATTTTGGCCAGTTTCGGGACTTCTTTTAAACTCCATGAGGATTTTTCAGGAGACCACTTAAAATTGATTTAGGCATAGTCAGTGTTAGACTTAGACTTGAATGTAAGTCTTTGATCATTTTTCAAGTCTGAAATGATTGGTAACAGTAATGCCAGAGATTGGTAAGCACACACATACACACACACACACACACACACACACACACACATACACACACACACACACACACACACACACACACTCACACACACACATACACACACACATACAAATACAGCCATTTCACAACAAAGAGGTAAAGTTGTTCCTGGTGATAACAAAAAATATCGTTTCTGCTTCGTTTTCGAGATAGAAGAGGAAGGTAAGGAGACAGAGGCCAGTACTGCTGTGTGGAGGATGATTGTTTTGGGAATACAAAAAGGAAGCAGATAATCTGGCATCTTTGCTGGAAAGAACAGAAGAACGTTCGACTAGATATGCACTGACACAATCAGTAGAAAGACCCTCAGCGGCATTTTTGAGAGTGAAACGGAGCATCAATGTACATGTCCGGAATGCAGGGGTGTTGCTTCCTGAAACAATGAACAATGAACAATTTCAAAAAGGAAACAAAAGAAAAAAAAATACTCACTGATATTACAAGTTATCCATAAAATTGTCACTGAACAACCTACAAATAAGACAGTTGAAATAAGGGACATAATCGAGACATATATCCAAACATATTACATGCTATTTTAAAGTTTCTTCCCTTTGTCATGTAACGGGAGTAATGCTGAGCCCTTCGCGTGACTTGGCACATGAGGATCGACCTTGGAGTAACTATGATGATCGACTCTCCATTGCAATAGAGCTCGGGTTGGAGACAACGAACTAGCGTCTGTGGTCTAATTGTTAGGCTCCTCAGTGTTGTTCCCAGGAAACAGCAGCAACCAGCAATGGTCTGTTTGTAAAACTGTCTGCATTTGTATAATGTTACGTATTCGGTATTTTTTTTGTATATATGTTATAAAAATGTATTTGTGGGTTTAAATAATGTATTTTGTGTATTATGCTTGCCTTTGTAATCCAAATTTTCCTTCGGGGTTATGCTTGCCATTGTAACCCAAATTTTCCTACGGGGCCCAATAAAGTGTAATTTATTTGCTATTTTTTAATGTATCTAATGACTTCCACTCTCCAAAGATTTATACTATTTGACCTATTTGAATAAAATGAACACCAAACTGTGTAAAAATGGATGATCTATGCAATACACTGCTGTTTGATTATAAGTTATAGATATGATGGTTTTGTTGGAGTTTTGTAGATTTTTGCTCTGAATGTCAACAACACGAACATAATATGCCGTGCTTCAGCTGAACTGGCGTGCCGTATACAATTACATGTCGCTACCTTAGAACTACACAGTTCTAGTTCTATATGATATTTTCTTGTCGTTTTGAGACTTTACTAAAACTATGAGGTCAGAAACCACATTTTAATGTTCTATCTGCTGTATCAAAATCGTAAGATTATTCAGAGTCGTTATCAAGATATTCAAAGAATTGCATTTGAAAAAACGTGACATCTTGTGAAATTCAATGTTTTTTACGTTAAATTTCTCAAAACTATGTGTGGTACTGAGCAGATTGAACCTTGTAATTCTAAAGTTACGATGTACATGTACTAAGACTTAAGTATACTGGTATTACACATGTCTTTTCGGCGCCTTCTTAAACTTCGAACGTGCAGTGTAGGCTACTCCTTAGAACTGCTGATGTCCATTTTCCAGGAAACCGTAGTCTCTGGTGGCGTCGGTAGCCTAGTGCGCACTAGTGGTTATAAACAGGCTACAGGACCTGAAATCGTAAGATTTCGGGTTCAACAAGGGATCGAGCCTCAGCTCGGTCCGACGTTGGGTCTGTGTGAAAGGCTCTTTCTACAGGAATTTCCTCTTTGACTCTAAATGAGGATAACCTAATAAATTATAGTGTTGACAGGGGTATTGAACCTACACCATTTCATTTTCATTTCTACTGTCTTTGTTCAGTTGGGTTGCTTAATCCACCTCTTTGTTTCAGCCGAGGCTGCTGTCATAAAAAGTTAAAGGTGAAGAGCAAGGATTTACTTTCTCTTTTGTGTGTGTGTGTGTGTGTGTGTGTGTGTGTGTGTGTGTGTGTGTGTGTGTGTGTGTGTGTGTGTGAACTCGATGTAATAACACATGGAACAAGTAAGTAAAAAAGACAGACTGAAACAACAGATGGGAAGAAAAGAAGTAGGTCCAACTATCGGCACACTCCAATCACGACCATGTGGCCATTCATGAATTTACAATTTACACAGAAGCAGAACAAAGTGGTTGTACATTTAGGCCTACAGATAAACAGATCGGAGATGACTAGTGAGAGATATTTCACTCGTCAGCTGGCCCCTCTTCGCATTATGTTTTTAACGCGAGATCGGTGACGCAGTGCCTCGAAACTATGTCACGCCGTACATTTCATAGTCTGTTCCTCTCAAAGTCACTTCCCCTTGTTATTTCCTACAGGGACAGAAGGA